TAAAATTACAAAAAAGAAACAGTTGATGAAGCTATGTAAATCTGTACAAAAGATTATCGAGAGAGTTCGCTCTCCTGGTTAATTTTACCACGCAATGCGCATTGTCATTTATATTTGTTTTAATTATTATTCTCTACAACTGTAACCAGTTTAATTAGAATAAAGTCATTGTCATTGTCAGGATCACAGCGAAGAAAGTCTGAATATATAAAGCAAGATCTGTCAACACATTATCAAATTTGTAATACACTTTCCATAGCAGGTCATGGCATAAAAGCAACAACTCTATAAAACATATGATAGTAATTCCTAATAGATATAAGAAAATTAAATCTTTAAATTTTCTGATTTGAAAACAATACCTGTCAATTTCACCTGCATAGTTAATTATCCATATCACAATTACTTTTATATCAGATAAGTTATAACCAATGCATAATGTCCCACAGTGTCAAGTTGCTGTACGGGTTGGTACCCTCCAATCCAAAAACCTCGGATACCTTAAGATTTTTTTTTTTAAATAAGTCTATGGTTTCCTTGGTGAATTAAAATTAATGAAACGAATTGTAAAAAAGTTATCATTGAATCTGCAACTCCGTCTTCATTTTTTGTTAAAAGTGGCACCTGCTACAAAAGCATGTGTTAATTGAGTTTACAATAAATTAACATGTTTTATGACCTCTTATTTTGTAAATTTTCGCTTGACAACAGGTATATATAACAGGTTATATTAAGAGAATCGTAAGATTTCAACATTTATAAATTAAAACCCGGAAGTATCATTGAAATATAAAAAATGATAAGTTCCCTCTTAACACTAACGAATTTCTCAATAAATCACCTGGATGTGTGGGTATTGAAAATACAGAATTAACCTTTAAATTTTGTTGGAGTAGCAGTATAAATAGGAGAGCTTTATCAGTCTGTCCTCACAGAATCTTCTCTCAGATCCGTCACATCACACAAGGTAAGAAGTCAATTTTAATTCGGTACTTGCTCTATCTTTATTATGCTGCATAGTAAAACATGTCGAGCTGAAGCCTGAAGAGATCTTGCCTTTATTGAATGAACCATGGACTTTTTTTTTAAATTTCTAGTCCGTTTTTGATTCCCTGTCATGTTTACAGTCTTTTGACAATTTAAATATTAAGAAACTCGACTTGAAGAAGCCCAAGTTAAAAATTTCAGCACTAGTTGAGGAACCAATATTTTATATACAAAAAAAATATTATTCAGGGAACAGAAAGAATATAATGCTTAACATGGAATATAAAATGTATATACTAGTTTATTACATTTTCAACAGTGAAATACTGTGATTTATTCATTGAATAAAAGTGATATCCTCTCACAGTGTGAAAGGATACCAAAGTGATATTCTGTCACAGTGTGAAAGGATATCAAAGTAAGTATAATTTCTTGCCTGTAACAAGATTGAGATAGAAACTAAACCATCTTGACAGAGATTAAAACTGCCAATTTCTTCCCAAATATGTTGCTAAATCTATGTCACAATGTTTTCAATCTCAACTGCCAAGCTATGACTTCTTAACTGCTACAACTATGACGCCACAGCATATGACACTGTGTTAAGAAAAGAGAAGGGCAAAGGGAAAAAATCAAAGAAAATGTAATAAACAGAAAATTCAATGTTTTGCAGTTGGATATGGAATTTATTTCACTCGTGAAACAGGATTTTTGATATTTTCACTCGTGCTTCGCACTCGTGAAAATATCAAAAATCCTGTCCCACTCGTGAAATAAATTCCATATCCAACTACAAAACATTGAATATCCTCTCTACGGTATATATATATATAAACATGAAATTAAAATTATATAAATATCACAAGCTTCTCTCGATTTCTCACGCATTTTAAGAATTTCTTTTACTTGTTTTAAAAGATGTTCTTGTATACTATATAATGCATTGAAAAAATTGTTTATTTTACTAGTATCAAAATTATAATTTAGTTTTGAAGTTTTTTCCGAAAGTTTTTTTTTTATTTTTATTAAATGATTCCTACCTGTATCAGTAACTTCTCAGTTATTTGAAAATATCAACAATTTGTTCTCACAATAAACCTCAATGAGAATCCAAGGGATCTGAATTATTTAAGGAATCACTGTCTAGTTAGTAGAGTATGCCAGGGCATCAAAGATAGATGGAAACGTGGGATGCATAAATGATATCCCACGTTTCCAGTTATCGTTGATGTCCCTGGCATATTCTACTAACTAGACAGTGATTCCTTATATTTCCATTTCGCTGTGAAATAAAATTGTAAATTTAGATTTTAAAAATGTAGACTAATAGATTTAAATTACACGAGGCCTCACATGTCAATTTCAATAGTCCCCGCCCACTGACGTCAAACACAAAGACAGCCGCACGAGAATTACATGCATACCGGTATTAGGCCTTCTTAGCTCCTGACCTTTTGCTTGGCGAAATTTGCATTTCGGTAGAATGATCAAGAAATCAACTCTCCTAACTTTCAAAGAGTTATCACAGAGAAAACAAATAGAAATGGAAATATCTGTGCATAATTTTCTGAGCTGAAGATACTAATTTTGAGAAATTGTCCTATGTACACATGTGTTTCAACCTCTTGTCAATTTGAAACAATTATCATATATACTTCATAAAAAGATTTAAAACTTATATCACGTTCATTCTAAAAAAAAAATGATTTCCCGACGATTGAGGATTGTATCTCTAAAACATGAATTTTCCAACTTAACTCTAAATACCCTGCAATATTGGCTTGTATGCTTCCTGTAAAAAAAAACTTATTTTTTCAAAGGATGATCAAGCTGCTGTGTTGTCTGGCTCTGTTCTCTGTAGCCGTGTGTGATGACTACTATAATCCCTCCTACGGTGGATTAAATGTCGGCCAAGAATATGGAGGAATCATCTATGGTGGCAAAGGACTTGTAGGACATGGTAAAGGACTCGGAGGAGTCATCCTTGGAGGAAAAGGATTAATGGGCAGTAGCTGGGATAATTATGGATATGGAGGAGTGATGGTTGGAGGAAAAGAATTGATGGGCGGTAACTACGGTGGTAAAGGACTCGGAGGAATCATCCTTGGAGGAAAAGGATTAATGGGCAGTAGCTGGGATAATTATGGATATGGAGGAGTGATGGTTGGAGGAAAAGGATTGATGGGCAGTAAATACGGTGGTAAAGGACTCGGAGGAATCATCCTTGGAGGAAAAGGATTAATGGGCAGTAGCTTGGATAATTATGGATATGGAGGAGTGATGGTTGGAGGAAAAGGATGGATGGGCGGTAACTACGGTGGTAAAGGAGGAATCTTATCTGGTGTAGGATACAAGGTAATAAGGAGAATGATAACTGTTCATATGGTGGCAAATTTGCATTTTTTATTTTTCCTCCAGAATATCACTAATTTGATGGTTTCTGCATGTAATGGTTCATCTTTCTTTTTTATTTTTCAGGAATATTATTGAAAACTTAAATGGATGAAAGTGTTTACGCCGACATTGTCATTGTCATGTTTCTATAAATAAAATAAATTATTAATATTAAACGAGACAATTTTTTATACATATTACTGAGCTATATTATGTAGATGAATAAATAGATGTTATTTAATGTTTTGTAGTTACATATGGAATTTATTTCACGCATGGGGCATGATTTTTTTTTTATATTTTCTCAGGTGCGAAGCACGAGTGAAAAAAATATATATATTTTAAAAAAAACATGTCTCACGAGTGAAATAAATTCCATAATCAATCACAAAAGATTGAATTTTCTGTTAATCACATTTTCTTTGTTTTTCCCTTTGTAACGCCGTATCACAGGCCGTGACGTCATAAAATATTGAGATTGAAAACGTAAACATGGACTTCAACAGCATATCTAGAGAAACTGGCAGTTTTAGTCTCTGTTAGGATGTTTTATTTACTCTCTCTCTCTCTATCTTATAAGGTCAGCGAGTATTTTTTACAACACTCTTTGTGAAGGGAATTAAAATCGAGAGTGTAAATGCCGAGTTTTTGATATTCTTTCACACTGTGACAGGATATCATTTTGATATCCTTTCCCATTGTGACAGAATACCATTTTTATTCAATATATAAATTACAGTATTTCACTGTTGAAAATGTAATAAAAACGTCTATATTACATTAATACAGTATAATAATTAAAGACTTTACGTTAATATTTGTGCTTTAATACCGGTTTTATCAGAAAAGAACCGTCTTTTGCTTTAAAAAGTAAAAATTGTACTTACGGAAATTTTTAAAATAGGAGCTTTACCCCCTTTAGGATTAATTAGTCAATAATCGATGAAAATGTCTTGTAAATATAAAATTGGATTTGGAACCTGGAATATTTTAAATTTATAATCTCATTGCCTCTCATATATGTCCAATCTCTAGGACTAATTTACCTACATATATAATGCATACATAACGTAATACTTATACTGAGATGTCTGGGGCTTCATTTTGAATATAGGTAATATATCTCTACATTATACACAGTCCTTAAAGTATTAGCAATTCAGAATTCAGCGCATGTGCAAGCTTATAACCTTGCCTTAATTTTAATGGCACTATAAATATTTCTCTTATTTTTCCATGAAATACATGCCCGTAAGAATAATTTTAATGATACTATAAATATCTCTCTTATTTTTCCATGAAATACAGGCCATTAGGAAGCATTTTCAGTTCGAGGGGAGGGGGGCAACCAATTTTTTTTTCTGTATGGGGTGCTACAAAGCAAGCATTTCTTAAAAAGTTAAAAATTAAAAAAAAAAAAAAGAAAAGAAAAAAAGAAAAACGTCGTCAGAAACATAAAGTACCGGCCTGTTTCCAATTATACTAAAATAAAGCCTTTATTTATCCAGGATGACATTTTTAGCAACAATGGCATTTTTCCAAATCTGATGATTGTCAGGTTACTAAAGGATTCAAAAAGAATTTGGTTAGAATATGGTTTATAAATTTTTATTTCTCAACAAAAACATAAAACATAGTCCAGGCCATTCAAACAGATAATAAATATAAAACATCTTCAAACGAATGCATTATTTTCTTGTAAAATTTTTGTGATCATGATCAAGATAAAGGTTTAATTAAACATCACTTCCAACTCAAACTGGAGAATTCCTTCAAACTGATTATGAATGTGAAACACTTACTTTAGTTAAGTCAATTTATCAATTAATATCAAACTAATTGTAACAGAAAATGTTAAAATAAATAAATAATGAAAGTAACCATAAAATACCGGGTATATGTGGAAAAAAATCTAATAAAATTTGAAGAGTGGAAAGCATTATTTTGGGTACATAAATATGAAAAGGGGGCATAGCTGTTGCCCATACAGTGAATTTTAGTTCGTGTCTTAGAGCACTATTCCATCATGGAGATAGAGGAAGTGAATTATACTCCACAGAATGGTATTTTTATACCCGGCAAAAAAGATTATTACAGATACTTCAGCATTTTCGACATTTTCAACATTTTCGAGTCTTTGTTGCATTTTCCCCTTCATGATAAAATATTTGGCTGAGGCTAATCATCAGAATGCAGGAAACATAGTGCCCCCCCCCCCTCCCTAAAACAACTGCATTCACCGACCATTGTTTTTAAAGTTATTTTTTCAAAAAAAAAAATGATGACCCAAAAAGTATATAACTGTATTAAAAACATTCATTAAATATTGATATTATCTATTGAACAAATGATCTATCGTAATATCAAACACTTTAAACCATATCACACTATTTTGCAAAATGAGCATTTCTCTTCTAATATATGGATAGATTTACAACAAGCCAAAATTATGTTTTCCCCTCATTAGATTTTTTCCTAGACTTTTTACTACAAATATTTCAAATATACTTGAACTTAATAATCGTAAAAGTAATAATTTTTGTTGTAAGAAGTTGGAGGTTGAGCTCAATTTTTTTGGCTAGATTGACTAGACTATTTCATGTTTAAGTAATACTGAAAAACGTTCACCAAATACTGTGAATGAGATGTAAACATCAGTGTTCTGGTGCAATTAATACAAAATAGTTATGTGAATTACGATTATGATTTTTACATTTACACAAATGAAAGCATTCCAACTCTTTTTCAGCAGAACATATTATATACTTGTATGTATTTTTGCAACCTAAATATAGTGATTTTATTCTTTCTTTCTCTCTCTCTTGGTGAAAGGCAAAACACACAATGGATATTAAAATATAAAATTTCCTGTTGGATGGAATCTTCACAGTACATTATGTATATATATATAAAAAAAAACACTCTTAAATGTGTATCACAGTTTTTAGATAACATTTTCATAAATCAAAAATACAATTACACATAACATCATATAACATTATATCATGACATCACTAAAAGCTACACGTTATATTGCAACTTCTCTCGAATACTGATTCTGGAATACGAAACAAATTCTGACATGGAATTTCAATTCCTTCACTCCCAACCTGCTAAGCATAACTTTAATCAAGGATCACAGCAAAGAAAGTCTGAATTTATATAAAGCAAGATCTGTCAACACATAATCAAAATTGTAATACACTTTCCATAGCAGGGCATGCCATAATAACAACTCTATAAAACATACAATAATAATTCCTATTAGATAGGAAAATTAAATCTTTAAATTTTCTGATTTGAAAACAATACTTGTCAATTTCACCTGCATAGTTAATTATCCATATCACAGTTTCTTTTATATCAGATAAATTATAACTAATGTATAATGTCTCGCAGTGTCAAATTGCTGTACGGGTTCGTACCCTCCAATCCAAACTCATTTGTCCTCCTCCTACGGATTTCATTTTCTCGTTTTCTCTGACGTACAGCTGTGGGATTACTAATTTGACGACGTACAAGTCTTGGTGGTCTCCCTTGGTGGTCTGGAGAAGCACTTGAACCATTGCCAAGATATAAGTCCGTGAAGAGCTGTAGAAGGGAGATAATCAAAATTACATGGTCCTAACATGCTTCAAAAATTTAATATGTGTGACAATATGCAAAATTTCATTATTAAATCAGCAATTTTAACCTGATTAAATCTCCTTATGTTAATGTTTTCTTTCCATAAATCAACTCAATTAATAAATCAGCAATTTTAACATGATTAAATCCCCTTCAGTTTGTTTCTTTCCATAATTCAACTCATACATTGATAACTATACTAAGGAGGTTTTTTAAATTTAGCACGAGTATGACTTCAAATATGTACTTCTCAATAGTATATAGTTGAATTGACTGTTATATCAAACTCATCTGTGTTGAACACTACATGTACTTATAATACATGTAAATTCGTTACTATATAACAATTGCCTTGAAACATCAAGGTGGAATGAAGACTGTCACACTATAAAATCTTGTTATTATAAAGAGTAGGGTTCATGGTTTGTCAACTCCTTAACAGATATTTAAAGCCTCAATGTGTAATGATATTCTCATTACATAACTTTCAAAAGTTTGAAATCAATAACACTTTGAAGACATTTTTTGAAAAATGAGTAATTATGTCATATTTGCCTGTAATCTCTCCATTAATGGGTCCCCTTGTTGGTTCTCGCTCCCCGCTTGGTCACCTTCCTGGCTATTTGATCCTCTCCTCAACTGTCGCTCATGTTCTAAATAAATATAGCGTTAACAAATGATTTTAGCTTTAGTCAGTAAGCAATATGTCAGACAGAGTGTCTAATGCTTTTATCAACCAATAAGTTCAGCAATTACTATGATTTACACCAATGTTCATATATCTGCTATCAGTTTTAATGAACAAACTCCCATAATTTTGTTTTACTGATATTACAATCATGTTTAAGCCATGTCACATTAATGACATGATAGAATATCAAGTCTTAAAAACTAAAAATGCATGAATATTACAACATAATTATAATAAAATGTACAACAATGCAAGATAAATCTTTTGAAAGTTGAGTTAACTTATCTAAAAAGCTAAAGCATCTGTTAAAAAGAGAAATATATCTATACACTCAAAGCTAAAGCAAATATTTCTTTGCATTTTTATTTATAAAATGTATATGTAAAAATTGACTCATTTAGCATATTAGTTTTGTGTACAGTACTTAGTGAAATATTTCCACTCTTTCGATTAAAAATCAAATATAAAATCATTAATGTGCCCTGTTCCGTTCTATTGAGAAAATCAACAGACAATAAAGAAAGAAAGATGAAGAGGCAAAGAAATGACAGTTAATTAAGATTTGGATTCATGCATGAAGGATCTACAACACATAACTACTGAATCACATTGTAGATATTCAGCAATATACAGGCTATTAGCTACAAAATGAAAGGTTAAAACATAAACCTAGGTGTTTTTGTTTGTCTCAAGTCCATTGTTTCCAACTTTGGCTAAACGAGTGATTCTGAACATTTCTAAAAATTTTTTCAAACACACTGTTAGTAATTATTGTGACTTGAGACAAACACTTCCTAAAAGAAGAAATGCATGCAGAGTTAGCTCCCTTTGAAATACCTGACAGTCGTGGGGCCCTGGGAGGCAGACCAGTCCTGGGGCCACCAGAGTGACCCCGAGATAATCTACCCTCAGCACCCTCATCCTGTGCCTCAGCAAGAATAATTCCATTTGCGAGTCGAGTTGAGCGAATACTGCTGAGACTAGTGTGTGATCCTGCGAGACTTGCTCTGGAATCTGGAGATGAACGCAGAGACGTTAACAAGACATCAAAATCATTAACAACAGCTGGCGTGTTTTCTTTAGGAACACGCTGGAAAATACGATGTTTTCCACTGCGATAACTACTCGCCCCGAGACTTGTTACAGTAGACATTGTATCAGTGTCAGCGTTAGGATTAGTCTCATCCGATTCAAATAGTGGAGGTAATTCCTTATTAGGAGAATGTAGTTCAGATGGTCTACTATGTAGTAAAGATCTCACACTAGGGGAGCGAGATGATCGACTCGAGTCTGGAGTTTTAGACACTGAATTAGTAAGATTTTCTGCTTGTAACATTGATAAAGTGTTTTTGATAGCATTATGGGTAGTCGCGCGGTCATATTTATGACCCAGAGGTAATTCTATCACAGCTGATTGAATCTCATGTGAGTCTTCATTGTGAGATAGCTCATCTGAAAGATTTCGTCTGCGACGAGAATTTTGTCTGTGAAGATTCTGACCTGCAAAGTGCTCTGAGGACTGGGATTGATAATCTGCCTCCTCTGTGCGTTTTTGTTCCTCTGTTTGGCCGCTGATTTCCTGCAGACGCTGATTGAGGGAGGATTTTCTGTGCTGTAAGCGGCCCAGCAGACGACCACCTGGTAAAGAAGTAGTTGTAGACATATTTTCTGTTCCATCACCTCTGAAAAGAGAAATATAACATATCTCTATGAAGTCCAACTTTCTTACAATGAAACTTAACAGCTTTGTAAATCCTATTCATTGATTAAATTACAACATACATACACTTACATTTGACACATTCACTACAAAACTGTATTCAAACCAGAGAACAATAAAAACTTTAGCATGGCTTTCATGATATTTTCTCACTGAATTAGCAATGAACTACTGAAATTCTATCTTATTCTGATAAAATAATCAAGATATACTTACCCATTAGCACCAACAGACAGTCCATTCAGAGTAAAGCTAGCTCTCAGTGGATCAACAGCTGTATCTTCTGTCGGCCTCCCCTGTAAACGACCTTGCTGTGCCATCTTCCTCCCTCGCAAACTACTGGACTTCTCTACAGGTGTATTGTCCACTCTCACTAGCCCTACCCCTGGTATACTGAGTTCACTCACATCATTACCTTGTATACCAGAGGAATTAGTTTTCTTTGAAACAGCAGAAGACCTGTTATATCAGATTAAGGTATTTATTATTTTGTTTTTAAGGGGGGGGGTATAAATATACAGTGTGTTGTCAATGATACCTTTGACTATTTCTTTCGGCCTGTTCCTCTGCCTCCAGCTGAGCAGTGACTGGGTCCCAGACCACTTGACCATCGACTGGACATGTAGGATGCGAGTGAAGTAACCAGCTGTCTATACATTCCTTGTGAAACTGGGGAAAAAGAAAGTAAAGCTCATTTAACCAAACAAAGAGTCAGAAAAAAAAAATTGGACACGTTTTAATAAATTATTAATAAAAATGTCATATATTCTTGTGGCCTTTCCTGCAGTAATGCACAAAGAGGATTAAAAAAATTCATGTACACAATATTGTAAAGCAAATATTATAAACATTTCTTTGTATTAAACATCTGTACATAAAAAAAAAGTACTCTTAATATGTTAAATTTCTTTTGAATTTAATGGTATGCATTATCCTCAATCCACCATCTAAACTCTCAAGACTTCTTATGTTTTTTACCATGTTTCAAGATTCCTCAACATTGAAACAAAAGTCCATCTAATTCCCAGTGTAAAAAACTATAGTTGTTCACCAGTAAAGGGGTGATTTCTCAAGTAACAATATGCAAATTATGATAAATCTAATGTGACAATGTTACGATCATGAAATTATTGAACCTTGAATGCACTTTCATGTCAAGGGCCAATAGTGCTATACATGTATAGTTGTGATAATTTTTTTAATTCTCTTATCTTTTGTATTAAATGTTACTTTATCTAAATTTCATTTTCATGCATTAGTCCCTGAAGTCTTGCATACATGCCTCTGGCAAAACTGTTATTCAAAAGTCTTCTTGAGAGATGCTTTTACACAGTGGCCATGCATTTTTATTTCAGTACATGTACCTGAAGTTGAAGAACTTGTTGTTACCTTGTGTTTGCATCTGGGTAGCTTTCTGACATATTGATTGACCTCATAACCCCGGAGACAAATTCGGCACTGCATTCCCGGAGCCAGTAACGGTCCCCTTTCTCTGACTTTCTCAAGAGGAAACTTGTTGATTACAGCCTCTGGTATGTCACTGGGCTGCTGGTTGGCATTACTGAAAATATAAGCCAGATTACCTTATCAGATAACCTTGCAAATGTTTCTTTTAATCCCCCCCCCCCCCCACTTTTTGAAATTTTTATTCAAAATTGTCAGAGATAAACTCAAAGTTACGAGACTGTTTTATTTTTACTGATATGAAGGGCATATTAGGATATATTCACCTTCAAAATTTGATATTTTTGCAGTGTCTTGGAGGAAAAACCTGTATGACTTTGCTGGGTTGAATAAATCTCCATTTAACCCTCACTCTTGACTAACATGCAATAATTATCCTCATTTTACCCTATTGTGATATCAACTAGTAAATAAAATGTTCTCAATGCTTCATTGGCATCCAGTTTCTTAAAATCCATGCTCTTAGCTGTTAATGTAAGGTTTTCCTTTTTATGTTTTCAGTTTTGAAATACTTAATTCCCCCCCCCCCCCCCCCCCCAAATGAAATAGTGACCAAATAGTGACCAACAGAGCCCTTTCTTCAAATTGCTTTTTACGAAATACATAACTTAGAGTAAGGAAGAATTTTATGTTGTTCATCAAAACTTTACATGTAATTACCTGTCCAGCTGAGTCAGTAGTTCATAGTCTCCCTCAGTGAATTCTCTGTTCAGCAGGTCATTAGCCACAGCCTCTGGCAGAACTGCACCATATGTTCTCTGGGCAGGCCTCCATCTCTGGTTCCTCTTCTGCAAAACAGAGGCAACAAAAAAAATAACGGATGGTTTAGCATGTTTAGAGAATTCTTTAAATTTTGAAGCATTTCTCTGCATATTTTCTACAAAATTACATAAATCTTGGAAAGTTATAAAGTTGAAAATAATATTTCTAATTTTTATTTGAGAATTGAATTTGAGAACTGAATTTGACATATTTTCTGAATTCTATTGAATTGGTACTTACATGTCTGTATTCAAATGGGTGGCTTGTGTGAATTGAAGTGTTGAAACATGTCTGACACAAGTGGAAATCTGTACATGCTGTGCACCTGTCAAATAAATAATTTATAGTATTCAAAGAATTCAAAAGTCATACACAGAAAACTGAAACACTTACTTCAGTCTTCTGACTGGTTGACCTCAAAACCTCTGATAGAACAAATGACATATCATATTTATGGTTACACTTATAAATAAGATCATATGCATGCAGCTTCATGGAATCCCATAACATCAATTCATATTATTTAAATCTTGTCCCTTTTCCACCAATTCTGTAGTTACCTGTAGCATTTCCCTTCAATTGGTGAAGTGTGACAGCTTTGACACCTTGTGTACAGGTGACGGTCCATTCTACCTCCTGTGGGGACCCCCATGGCATTACGACTCTCCTGTTTAAGAAGTTCAAAAGGGCCAAAGTCTTCTCGACAGAATGGACATTTAATGGTCTTCTCTCCAGATGATTTCTGGTGGTCCGCCCAGATCTTCATACACTTAATGTGGATGCTGTTACCACAACTGAACCTAAGGAAAGAAAACAGCTTGTCAAAAACATCAAATCTGAATTCTATTGAAATAAATTTCAGGGTTTTTTCCAGATGGAAAATCACACAGGGGTATTTGAAGGGAAATGGATGGTTATTGAGTGAATAAGCTCCTCCATTTTCATTTTCTTTACATACTTGCAGAAGGTAACAGGCTGGTGTTTCTGTAGAAGCTCATCCTGACAGATTGGACAGCAGTCTTCTTCTTTGATTTCTCTCTGTTGAATCGTGGGCCGCCCATCAGCTAGTTGCCCAGTTGTATCTGGTGGACCAGATGTTGCCCATCTTCTCTGAGGTTTACGCTGTCTGGTGCCAAACAAAATCTCATTGATTTCTCTCTCCACCAGACCAAGTTGCCATGTAACTGAATTGAAGGTGACCAATACATGTTATACGATTCATGTCAAACCTCACTGTGGTACTTATCAAAACTTAACAAAACAATGAAATGTTTTGTTTGTTTTCATTTGGACTCCAGTCAAGCAGTTATTTTCTTCTGAGATATGATGATCCATTCAGTTGAATAATTTAAATTTTTGAACAACAGGTAAATTTTTGAAGTTCTTGTAACTTATCTTTCAAATTTATTTTTTCCTTTCTGTTTATTAGATGTAATAAAGATAATTAAGAAATTTCATTTTTTGGCTAATTTGCTTGAACTGCAAATTATTATTATATATGTAAAAGCCAGAAAAATTATTAAATGTTCTACCTGCAAGCAAATTAATGCAAAAACCTGAATCAAGAACTACCTGGATTATCCTGTGGAACTTTGAATTTTTTCAAAATCAGCCAACAAATGTGTTTACAGAGGTCCCTGTCCTTCATAAAGTTTGAACAAGTACAGGAATGTGGATCACCTAAAAACACCTGAAAAATAACAAATCATTAGGTCAGACTTTATCTAAAACTTCCCAAAATGTTTGTAAACAAACACTGACAGTTTGTGAAATATTAAATAATAGATAACCAGAAGATATCAGAATATTTTTATGTCATCATATTCAGGAAGCAGAGCATACATGGAGGCAGCCGGTATGAAAGTCACCTTAAAAGTAATATATTAGTATAGACCTTACTCACAAAAGGCAGTGTCGCTCGGCAATAGTTAATACATGTATATCATGTTTATATATAATGTATGAATTTACGATCTTGACCTTTGACCTTGTGACCTCTAATAAGATAGGGGTCTTCCTTAGGCCATAGGGAGTGATATTACCAGTTCCGAATACCCATAATCAACACTACAGTATATTTGTTTTCTGTTGTTTTCTTCAATGTAGACTTGATTGCTTTCAGTTCTCTTTATCCATTGGAAATACCATAACTTACTGGGTAGCATTTATTTTAACTTTTCCTAGGCATGTCAATTAATGATGTACAGGACCGATATTTTTGATTTATATATAGGGTTGATTTTTCATGGAAACCCCTTATGTATTAGGAGGTCATTGGCTTACTCTCAACTGGTAAAATAATATTTAAAATAATTTATCTCAGAGCTCCAGATAAGATGCGTATTTGCAGAAATATGCATAGAATTTTACAAAATACACATTGAAAATTAAAACTGGGTGTACAGTAATGCATTAGCAATCATAAATAAGCATTACACTTCGAAAGTACTGCGTATGACAGATTGAATAATACACATACGACTTAGCTAATGATATGAAATCAATTGAGGTTAGCTCAGTGTTTGATTTTTTTTCAAAGCGAAATAATATTAATTTAAAAGCGTTTCAATAACAAGGACTATTCTAGTTATGGCGACGACAATTTCCAGTTAGGGAGAAAGAATTCAATGATTTAGATTAATTAAAATCGATTTCTTTATAGCGAGCGCAGCGAGCGGCGCGAAGCGCCGCTCGTCACTGCGAGCTCTAACGACAACGCCTGGGCGAAGAGAAAATTCGGACTACTGCACATTCATTCAATAGAATTTTTTTCCGCAGTAATTTTGACCCACAATGCATCGCTTCTTGTTCTCGCTGCTAACTTCGTTCACGCGGTGACAACAACTAAAAATTCACACAAAATAAACTCACCTTAATTTAATGGATATTGCATGCAGATAGTAGATTAAACGTTCTTTGTTAAAATATTTGCACTTTTTAAACTTTGTTTATGGAAATGCAGCTAACATACGACGTCATGTGACGTCACAGTCTAGACGTTCCAAATGTCTCGTGCAGTTTGAAGAGGCAGATCATAATAATGAAATGAACACTGCGCTCGCCCCAACGGTAGCACCGTCAACATAATATAGAAAGACTATGCATATATATTAACAATATACTCTTTAATCACTTTGCTGAATATCAAAATCTGCATTGATTTGAAAATCAGGGAGTAAATACACTTTGGGCTAAAAAATTATCTGGAGCTCTGCTATATGTATATCGGGACAAAACCTCTCCATATTTTTAATTATACACCATGTTGACATTTGGAGCTCTCTGAATTGTTCATAGTAAATAAACTGAGTTCGAGTTATTGCCCATGTTTATTTTGCTACATTGCCAATACATGTAATGAATTCTAATCATTAAACTGGGTTCTTAAAAGACTATATGATTATAGAACATTCTATCAACACCATTATATGGACCCTCACCTTGACGGGTTTAGCCTCCCCCTCCTCTTTCAGGAGGAAGCCAGTAGGACCGGTCTCGCGGAGGATGTAGATCGTGGAGTCCAAGGCCTGACATTGTCGCCAGAACACTAAGTCATTGCATGTGCGACGCCACGCTACGCTCCTAGACATTCTGTTAAAAAATTAAAATGAGGATTTCAATGTATATAATATTAACTTCATTTATTTCAAAACTTCTTTGTTAATATACTAGGACTTAAATAAAACTGAAAATTCCGAGTCCGGCATGTAAGACGAGTGGATAATATCCCCCGCTGAGCCAGCACTGCAGTTACATTATTATTCGATTACCTAACGCTACTAAAAGAAAATATTTGAGTATAAACAACTGACAATCGTTTATACTTCCTTTAGTTCGCAGATTATAAATTGCGGACCCTCTGAAATGAGAGATCATTTTGGTTATATACCTTCTTCATAAAAAAAATCGAAAGTTTAAATTCCTTAACCTCAAATCACACAGCCATGTTGTTTATTGCCTCGGTTTGAAATCACCATGAAGAAGGCAAAATAAATCTCAAAACCGATAATGATATAATTTCCGGATGTAGGAAATCGATATAATATCAGTTTGCCGACTTATGTTTAACTACATTTTACTACGATTAATAAATATAGACTTTTTAGAGAGACGTTAAATTAAACCAACAATTCAAAATTATCTGCACGTGCAGATAGTGCAAAGAATAGAGTTTTCCCGCGTTTCGGAGAATAGCGGGAAAACGTTGTATGATAGCAACGTGTTTGAATAGCTATGCGTAGTAATACAAGGCGGGCCATAGGAAGGCCAGTATAAAGGGTCAGTGGCGTAAAGTTAAGGTCATTCTAAGCCAGTCTTTCTCAGTGCACGGGGCACTATATTTTTTTTTTTATTTAATTTTGACGAGATTGTTTAAATTCAAATATATATTTGTAATTTTTTTTTTATATGAATAAGTCCGATATTCACCCCTAGACATTACTTAACACTTGCGTTCGGACACAGGTTTCCATAGTTTTTTCATATATTTTATCTATGGTTTTTCCTGGGCGGTTTTTAATGTCGATTATGGGGATATTTTGCATAATTGTTTATGTCATGGTTTATTTAAATAATAAGGATTTGTAAATCTGTCTTGTTACATAAGAATGTTAATAAAATTATTAAAAGCCGGCTGCCTGCAAAGCTTGTCTGGCTCACACCTATGTTGTGTTGTGTTAATATATAGAAAGGGGGGTGGATAGTATTCTTATAAGTGTATATTATACCAATGTTTCATTAGGCCTATCTCAGTGTGGTTTCAGTGCTGAAAAGTTTAAGATCCCTGAATTTTTTTTTTTCGTAAAATGAAAATATTTAATATTCTATTTGCATTTTAATCATGTTTTATAATTTAAAAAAAAAAAAATCTTTGAAAAACAACTTTTAAAAAATCAATTATTAATGAGAGAGAGAGAGAGAAGGGGGGGTTGTGAAAACGTTGATGATGCAGATTCACGGGTAATTTCTAATATTGTATAATAATAATTAAATAAAATTTGAGTATTCTATTTTTTTGCGTACATTGAATTTTGTCTGTTTTTTCTAGTGTGATTAAAAAGATTTCAGTAAATGGTTCAATCTTGAAAAATTTGTGAAAATTTTACCTATATGGACGGACAAACACCTTTTCGAAAAGTTGAGGGTTATATTATCAGATTTATAGAAACACAACTTAATAGCTGTTTTATTTTAGGAAAAGGATTATTTGATTGTCTTAAATTCTTAACTCCTTCTGCGTGTAAGTTTATCAGAGATCGATCGTCATGATTACGAACAAAATAAAGTTTGATACCGATATATGTTCATTACAAAATCCATTCAAATCTTAGTCAGCGGAATTGTTGAATGAATGTAGTTCCGATTTATTTTAAGTAAAGGTAAAATCATAATTATATATTTAAAACGTATATTCATCTAATTAACTTACCTGGGTGTCTGACTTTTCTGAAATTCTGACATGTCACATTATGCACAATTAAAGTTTTAAAACCGTCAAAGAAATGAAGTAAACTTTTTATGTCTCGTCTTGAAGATGGCGACAAACTTTCCTTTATGCAATACAGTTAGTTGTGCCTACTTTACATTGTTACTTATGAATCATTAAATATCTAAGGTACCAAAGGATCGAATTTCATATTTTAACCCGAGTTTTAACTTTTGTAAAAGTAAGGAAAGGGCGATTTTAAACTGCCTTTGCCTTCGGCTATTAAAGGTATGACTGACTGACTTCTTTTGAATTCAATTATCAAGATATATTGTATGCAAATCAGCCATAAAACTACTGTTGTTTTCCGTTTACGCTGATTATCTTTATATACTTAGTGTCAATCAATATATCTCTATGACGTTGCAGATTTTCTCTCTTTTCAATATTAGGGAACAAATCACAATTCAATATTTTAGGATTTATATGTAGATGCTAGGATAAAGAGCTGAACAGATAGAATTTATCTATGGATAATATTGAGGATACCGTATAAGATAAATTTTATCTGTAGATAATAAATAAAGAAGATTAGATATATTTTATCTGTAAATATTAACTAAAGCTTAAGATTCATGTGCGGATTCACCTATTTTTTTCGGGGTGGGTGTTGGGAGGGGGGGGGGGTTACACAACCAAAAAAAAAGAGCTAGAGTTTTGCCTGCTTTTTAGCTTCTTTAATAAGATGTAAATAAATCTAAGAGTGGTCAGCTATTTCTTAGCTACTAGCATTATAGATCAGGCCTTTGCCTAAAAGAAAAATAAAAATGATAATAATTAAAAAAACAAGGATAGTAAGATTGCGACAAAATCTGACAAACAAATACAAATATCAAGTAAAATGAATAATGAAATTGAAATTACTAGTATTAGAAATAATTATTTGTCATTTTATTACAATCCTCCAAAAGAGATTTCAGTCTGTCTTTACTGCAATTGTCAGTTTTCAGAAACCGATCCCAAATGGCAATGTATTTTCAAAGTATGTATTTAATTTTCAGCTTGTGTGGTAACTGTTTTTCATACAGTTAAAGTACAGTGTCATGAACTCATAAACATAAATATAAATGCTGTATAAATGCTATTATCAAAACCCTACCTCTTAAAATTAAAATGACATCAGTTGAACTAAACTGTCCGGAGTATATTTTTTGCAAAGTAGGTCAAAGGTCAAGTTGCCATGCCTGTAACGCTGGTATTTTTCAATATATGTTATGAGAAATAGTGCTTTTAGATCATTGATAAAGAGCAGGAACATCAGCGGTCCGAGCACACTCCCTTGAGGCACTCCTGACTGGGCGGGGGTTTTGCTTCTTCCCATCTACATGTATTATAGCACTCGCTGGTTCATGCCACTAAGGAAGTCCCTAGCACACTGCAGTGTAGGTCTACCCTACGACTCCATAATAGTGTGCCATATAGAGAAGTCTCTCGCGGGGGACCTTATCAAAAGCTTTGGATAAATTCAAAAATATGCGGTCTGTCTGGTCACCTAGATTCATATTCTTGGCGTCAGAATCAACTGGGACTTGTATGATCTGTTTTTCCGGACTCCATATTGAGTATCATGTTGTAAATTTTGAATTTACTAGGTGGAGGTTAATGCAAAATTTACAACATGTCATGATAACTTTTGCATTTACCTCCACCTAATATATTCAAAATTTAATATTGATATTGAGCAGTAAGTAATCCATGCCTTTCTATGTATTTTTGAGATCTTGCTGCATATTCACAGGTGCTTGAGGACAGGACCCCCCCCCCTCCCCCCGATATAGACCCCCGGGCCTATTCGACTTTTTTCTCATAAGTTATTTATGGATGACACATTTGTGATATAATCTATATCATCAATTCGGAAAATTGCATGGCTTAAACAAACATTTTATAAAAATTAATACCCCACTCTATATACAATGTATATTGATTTGGGCAGATTTTATAAAATGTTTGTTTTAGGTAATTTTTCGAATTGTAGGTATAGATTATATCACAAATATGTCATTGAAAGATAATTTATGAGAAAAAAGTCGAAAAGGCCCGGGATGTCTATATCGGGGGGAGGGGGGGGGTCCTGTCCTCAAGCACCTGTGTGCAAATTAGGTCATCATGGATCTTACCATACATTCAACTACTGTGAGTGAAACAGGCCGGTAGTTAGCAGCTTTAATTAAGTCTTTTCCCCTGTCATAAAGATATTGGTACTATTGTCGATTCGAGATTTTCTAAAAAGAGAGGGGTCCAAGATCATTTTGGGTTTGTTATTATAAGTACATGTATGTAAAAATGGCCAGAAATCCTAGAGGGATGGGTCTAGACCCCCTGACCCCTTCTAGATCTGCGCATGAGCTCGAGGATAATATGTACATGATATACGCACCGTTACATACATGTTGTACGTAATAGGAACTCTGTGGACTAGTTATCAATACTAAACGGTTTGCAATTTAAGAATTGCGATTTATTGATTATATATACATGCACGAATTTAGAGGGGCTGCATGGAATTTGCAGAGTCTTATATATACTGAAGGAAATAAAAATGACTTTGGAACCACCACCATCCCGCCCACCCCCTCCCCCAAAAAACGTGGACCCCATCATCATCACCTCGAAATAGGTTTTTTTTTTTTACGTAATATGGGAAATAGATTTTAAGTTTTTTTTTCTTCCTTTGGCTTGTCAAGAAATTTCATGGAAATTTTTTGACTGGGATGGACCCCCCCCCCCCTTTGAAAAAAATTCCTGGATCCGCGTCAGATATAAATCTATATACTACATTATATTTCACTCGTGAGACAGAACTTTTTGATAGCTTCGCACTCGTGAAAATATCAAAAAATCCTGTTCCGCTCGTGAAATTAATTCCATATTCATCTACAAAACATCAAAACATTGAATATCCTCTATGTACTTATTATAGTCTCTATGAAAATTTATAATTATATTTGTTTATTTTATCTTGATAAAGCTATCTTTCCACATGGCCGTAGGAACCGGAGGGGGCCGTGCCCCCCCCCCCCCCCCCAATAATTTTGCCGATATATAGAATATACTAAATTAATAGAAAACATAGCATTGCCCCCTCAATAATAACGTCCGATGACCCTTTTTTTTTGCTTGTCAAGGAATTTTGGTAGTTGATGTATAGTGCCCCCCAACTGAAAATGTATGGTTGTGCCCCCTCAAAGTGAAATTGCTTCCTACGGGCCTGTTCGAAGTGGAAATTCAGGTTAAATAAATCGGGTTCGGAATACATAAATCTAGAAATCCTAGAAAAATTGAGAAAAATTTGCGAAGTCTTCGGGTTGAACTTGAAGCTTTGAAGTTGATATCGGCAATGACGGAAGCACTTGAAGCACAACTAGAGACTCTTACAAATGAGAATGTATTTTTACAAAAATATTTCTCACTGAGGAAAAAATGTGAACAGTTACAACAGGTAAAACAACCATTCTTCTCCAGTTTTTTTTTTTTGACAAAGCTATTTTTTTTATCATTAATTCTTTCTTTTAATTCTTATAAAAACTTGGTTGATATAGATTCATGTTAAGCATGTGAATGTTAATTAAATGTACGAAAATTTGTGTGAAAGGTGGATTAGTAAATAAAGCACTGAAATGGATAAATGATTTTTTTTATGCATGTACTTGTACAGCTGATATAAATGTTATTTTTTCCCTTTTCCTTCCAGGCCAATGAGAAGATTGTAAACAGGATACAACATGTGAAGAAACTCATCAAAAGATACAAACGAGAGAGGAGGTCTGAAATACTGCTTTATTACCATGCACTTATAAATACATGATATATACTTATGATTATCTATTTACATTCCTACTTGTACCAGTACAGGAGTTTGCAATTTTATCAATAAGTGAAAATAAATGAGAAACGAGTATGAATCATATCAGTGAGCTTCACGATAAATGATGAAACTGCTGACTCCTGTGGTATCACGGACTATGTATAAAACATTCCTGTTTGTGCACATGTCTATGAAATATATACATGATATGTGTATCATGCTGTGAAAATGAATAATAATGAATAAGATGCCAATATAAATGGATGTGCATACTAGACAAGGAATCTATAACCAGGCAGCATTTCATGGTTTATTACAGATTATAAGGGATACATTATACATGAAATCATTTTAATATTGACATTATTTATCATCTGGACCATGAATTTATATACCTGTCATAATTTCTTCTTCTAATAACTCATGTAACACAAAATACAGTAAGTCCCAACCACTTTTTAATGTGTGTTCTAACCTCAATATCTCAAAACCTTTTAAGAAAGTTTTTTGTTGGTTCTACTGAGTTCAAGATACATGTAATGAGGTTTGATTGTACCAAATTAGCATTAACCTGTGTTTCTTGATAATATTTTTTTTATTATACATGTAATGCATAGTTTTGTGATATGTGATGGTGTACATGTGATGTGTTAAGAGTGTTTCTTACAGAGTTCTTGATATTGGCATTACTCTTCATTTTATAGAATAAAAGTTCAAGTGTTTGAAGTATTTCCTTTCTGTGTAAGAACTTATTGCAATGAAAAAATGTTTTTATATTAGATAACCAAATATGAGAAACTGTTAATTAAGTAACACTTGTTTTCAGATTTCTGGCAAATCGTCTAGATGATCATGGAGATGATTACAGAAATGCCCAGATCCCTGTAATGTGGGAAGTAAGTAAATACTGTAGCTCTCATTGACAAGTAGTTATCTGTATTCTTACTAGCTTTTTTTTAAAAAAAAAAAAAACAATGTAAGTGGAAAAAATCTGTTTCTTTTGTAAAATTTTCAAAAATTGATTACTTTACCTGATACCTTTAACCATTTGTACCAAGGTCACTTGATTATGGTGACTTATTGTGCATGCATGAGTCTCCACAATCAAAAAACTTCCAGCTTTACATGTGTATGTCAGATACCAGCTTAATAATATTCACATTACATAAATACTCTTTTAATTGTGAAAATAAAAGTTTTAAATGAGTTGATGGTTTTAAATTTATTGACAGGAAGATAAGATATATGACCCAGTTCGACCAATGAAAAGCAGCGATTACAGGTCACAAGGGGTTAAACATTCTTCAGACATCATCTCTGCTGTTAGTCCTCGAGTTCTAGCAGACATGGGGCAGGTTTCCTCCAGTGAGTACATGTGTACTTAAAATAAAAACAAGAAATTTAGATTAAATGTCTTAGGGTATTAACTTAGGATATGTACCTGAAAATGCACAGAAAATGTCCAGCTTTTGGGCTTTAGAATAGCAGAATTTATTGGTAAGAAATCTGTACACAGCTAAATTCTGTGTATAGGTTTTGATAGTGGTGATATGGTTATTATACCCCCGCTCCAAGGAGAGGGGGGTATACTGTTTTACCCTTGTGTGTCTGTCTGTCTGTCTGTCTGTCTGTTTATCCATCTGTCTGTCTGTCCGTCTGTCTGTCTGTCTGTCTGTCCGTAACAAACTTTGGTCGCAGTTTTCTCAGCAACTACTCATCACAGGTGCTTGAAATTTTAACACACTCTTTGTTTAGGCATGCCATATGGTGGGATTCATTTTTGTACGAATCCGATGTCAACTTCCTGTTTATCCGTGCGTCTGTCCGTATCACACATAACAAACTTTGGTCGCAGTTTTCTCAGCAACTACTCATCACAGGTGCTTGAAATTTTAACACACTCTTTGTTTAGGCATGCCATATGGTGGAATTCATTTTTGTACTAATCCGATGTCAACTTCCTGTTTATCAGTGCGTCTGTCCATACCACACATAACAAACTTTGGTCGCAGTTTTCTCAGCAACTACTCATCATAGGTGCTTGAAATTTTAACAAACTCTTTGTTTAGGCATGCCATATGGTGGGATTCATTTTTGTACGAATCCGATGTCAACTTCCTGTTTATCCGTGCGTCTGTCCGTACCATACATAACAAATTTTGGTCATAGTTTTCTCAGCAACTACTCATTGCAGATGCTTGAAATTTTAGCACAATCTTTGTTTAGGCATGCCATATAATAGGATTCATTTTTGGAACAAATCCGATGTCAACTTCCTGTTTATCCATGAGCTGTCTGTACCATACATAATAAATTTTGGTCGTAGTTTTCTCAGCAACTACTCATCGCAGATGCTTGAAATTTTTTCTTTGTTTAGGCATGCCATATGTTGGGATTCAGTTTTTACAAATCCGATGTCAATTTCCTGATTATCACTGTGTTTGTCCATAACTGAACTTGTGTATTCACATCAGAGCGGGGGTATTATTAGTGAGCATTGGCTCACAGACTTCTTGTTAAAAATATACTAGGACTGAGGTAATAATCTGTTTAAGTCATGCTTCTTCTCCTACCTGATTTCAGTGTTACTAGTACTTGGTGCACAAGTAGGTGACATCAAGATACAAATCTAATCAGTTTTTGATTCCATTAAAAAGTGTTGTCATGGCTAATAAGATTTGATTATTATACAGAATTATTTCAAAATCCTCCTCCTCCTATAGTTTTGTTCTCCTTAATACATTACTGCAAGCTTACACACAATCAGGATACATAACTCTGTAGATGTAAAAGTTCAAATAAAAAATTACAAACCTTTTAAATTGCATTAAACTGGCTTTGAAACTACTTATATGGAGATTATTATTATTTTTTTTAATGTGTCAGGTAAATCTAAGAAGAAGATGGAGAAAGTGAAGGATTTTGTGGGTCCCAAGAAACCTGCCAATGCCTTTTTGTTGTTTTGTCAGCACCGGAGAACAGCAGTAGCCGAGGATTACTTTAAGGTGTGTTTAATAATACAGTGCAGACTCGTTATTACAATGTTCATTTTGTCACGGTAAAATATCGTAATACCGAGGGCAACGTAATAAAAGTTCCCAATAAAATCCAGTAAAACATCGTTTTGAAAGCTTGTTGTTGTATTAGGAGATGTATTTTTCTCCTTTTGTTTCCTTCTTCTGTTCAAATTCTTCATTAAAATGCTATATACATATAATTTATTAATAACTTATCTTGAATAGATATCTTCATTATGCTACTTCTTCTATTTCATTCATTTTAAAAGAAATGTGCACATTTTTTATAAAAACTTCGGCAATCTTCATTTATCTGCCGCCATTTCTGTTTACTTTTACTTTCGTTTCTGTCTAGATAATGCTAGGGATGGGTATCGGCAAAAATTTCATATCGTGATATATCACGATTTTTTCCCACAAATATCACGATAAATCGTGATATTTTTACACACAATTTTTACTACAATTTCAAATGAATTTCCGAAATATTTCTTAAAAATATGCTATAAAAACATAACTTTATTTTTAAAATTTTTATTAATTTGATCTAAAGCTCGTTTGGATGCCGTTGTTTAACTGTTTTCAACATTTTTTACACTTCCTGTAATAGTCATTCCATAGTTTGAACAAATAAATGAATAATTTCCAGAATTTATAGTTATGTACGAAATACCGGTATTTTAGTCTCCGTATCACGATGCGTATCACGCAATAAAAAATCGTGATATACCGGTATACCGATAAAATCGCACATCCTTAGATAATGCGTTTGTAAAATTTTCAATGTCTTTGTATCGTTACTACATAAACAACAACAATACATCACTTGGCGGTTTTTGGTGTTCAATGAGCTTAGAGCTGCAGTGAACAACTGATGAAAGTGGGCAGTGTGATAGGCATATTCATGGACAGGATTTGAAAACACGCTAAATGTCAAAATAAATTTGAATTTTTAAATTACTGAACAGAGTTCAATTAGCAGTTCAGCAATTATCTATTTTTATTTCTGCTGACACCTGTGAGGTAGTCCAAGCCACTTTTCAAGCTGTTAAAACGTTATTGGAGTTCAAATTTTGCCAAAATTATGTTTGATACCCAAGCTGTCCATTCCGCAGTTTAACTGCAAACAAAATTACACATTATGTATTTAACATACATGCATACGATTAAATGTAACCTTTTATTTAATAAATTAATTTTACTTATTAACCATAGTAAATAAAAATAAATAAATAAAATTAACTTAACAGAGATAGAAAAACTAGAGACTACATTTATAAATGAACAGTTTAATTGTTTAACAATGGCTTTGACACCTCTCCAATTCTGCTGATCTCGCTAGAACAGTCAAGGTGTGTGCAGTTAAGCATCACTAATCACCTAACAGCCCTGCAAGTTAACACTCTGTCAGAGCACAGGTGTTTCAGTGTTTATTTAGCTTCTCCTTAAGTGTCTACCGTCGATCAACACTGAATAAACACGGAGTGAAAAAAATTTTTGGACAGAATTTTTACATCATAATACTGAGTCCCGGCATTTTAGGACATCGTAATAAACAGTTCTATTTTGTATAGATTTGTTAAGAAATGGTTTTGTGCTTTGAATTTACAATGTAATAAGCGTTCTATCTTATAAAACCGTCACCGTAATAACGAGTCCTCACTGTAGTAAAATTATGGGGGATACTGAACTTAATCATATCACCAGATTTATAAATTACCTGCGTAAGTACAACATACATGTAAATGCTTATTAAATGTCTGCATATATTTAAAGTGCATATCAGGTTATGACTAGTTTGTACCAGGTTTTCATTTAGTAATATATTAAAGTAGTAATTTTGTTACTAAGGGAATTTGTGAAATACCCTCTGGTTAATTCCATTTTGCCTTTGCTGTGTGTAAGACCAAACTTTTTCAGCATCACTTTTAAAAGTTCATTGTAATTTTTGTTTTAGGAAAAACATGAAGAAATATCAAACCATGAATTAACTCGCAGAATTGCACTAGAGTGGAATATTCTCAAACCAGAAAAGAAAAAGGTAGTATGCGATATGCTTTCATTTTGTTTTACTTGTTTACACACAAAAAGGATCGCGGACTACTCTAAAAGCAGAAACAAGTTAAACTCATTTGTATCATGAACTCTAACAATTCTACTTAGCCTATCAGTAAGCATGTCTTCTACTATAATGTGGGAGTGACACATGAAGACAAAAATGATGAATTACAAGATGAGAGTTGGGAGAAAATGTTTTTTCCCCATTTCTTTTGTGAGTGAACATGCATGTTTTCCTACACTCTGCTTTCCTATACCATAGGTATAGAAGTTCAAATTTCAAAGAGAAATTTTTCATGCCAAGGGACATAGATATTTTGTTATAAATATAATTTTTTTCATAGAATCTAGTCCTTGAAATATATGGAGTTTATATATTTAAAGTAAGACCTATGGATATAAGAGGAGAAGAGAAATTTATAATTGCAAGTAAATACATCTGAAATCTTGTAGGTTTACTTTGATATGTATGAGCACGAGAAAGAACAATATGAGAGAGAAATGAAGATCTATCAAGAACAGGAGCTGTCGAGGAGGAGTGACAGAGAGATGACCCGAGGACTAGACAGGTCCGAGGAGGCTGTAGACGCAGCAGCCATGGGAATGGAGGCCCAGAGTGCTGTAGACGCTCTCATGATGGACAACTGACAATTCAGCTGGATCAAATCCAGTTCATTCTCAATGCTTTATAAGTCCTGCTTCATGGTAGCAACGATTGCTGAAACTGTACATCAGACTTTATCTTATTTGTTACTTATCTGAAAGTTCTGTGGCAAAAGCAATTTAAAAAAAAACCCACATCTGAAATAATTAGGTTATATACAATATAAATGGTATATATATTCATTGAAGAATTCAGCCATTTTGTATAGACATGTTATTGAATGCAGAAAATAATCTCAGGAATGATATTCTTGTAGTAGTAAGGCTGGTGTACCCAACAAACTTGTTATCAGAGACAAGGACACACTGTAAATGAACTTAATTTAGTGGTAATCACATTTAGCTCCTTCTCGCTGCTTAATCAAAATCATGCTAATGCCTCAAGATGACTAAAACAAATACATATAAAAGTTTGGCTCCAAGTTTACTAATTTATGATGGTGCTTATCAGATCTCTAGGAATACTGCTCTAATTTTAAGTGGGCTAATTTTAGTAACTTTACAATATAACTGGTACAGTAATATAGCTGAGGTAGGTGGGCTGTATTTCCAAATATTTGCCAATAAAATGAAAGTCGTGCATTTATGCTTTTGCATCATGTAACAGGTCGGGTACACTACCTTTTATGGAAGGCACTTTTCAACACGTGATGATGTTTTCGTCAAACCCTTTCTCCAATCGATTGAATGAATCGCAAAGCATGACGGTCTACTATATGTTTACGATTCAACAGCGACATCTGGTTTTCGTCAGATTACTGTATAATATTTACTTGGTCACCAGAAACACCGTACAGCTTCTTTTTTACTTTATAAGACTGAAATTGAAAGATTATACATGTATTCCAAAGGCACTGTTCCATGCTCACATTTAATATTGGAGTTGTTTTAGATGATTAATATTGCTTCAAATACGGCACAAGTGCTTTGACGTTTGTACATAAAAACATTTCAATGATATTGAGGAATTAAATAATAATTGCACACCTTGTACTGCTGTCTAAAACTATGTACATGTATATCACATGAAAAAAAAAAAACACACTCAGTTATCGACACAATAGCACCTACGTCACTTTGAACAATACTTTATGCCGATGTATTACAAGTTGATATAAGGCTTCATAAAGCAAATTTTGTAAATGTGAGCATAGAAATGAAAAATTGTACATCATTTTCAATATTTCTTTCATAAATATCAAAAAAGAATTAAAAATGAGTTTCCAAGGGACAATTCAAGTTGCCCTTTATTTTCAACACGACTGAGTTCATATTGACACTTGTAGTAGCCCATAATGCATTGCGACTCATTCAACAGTCGGTCAAGTGAACAGATAGCTAATTTACATGCAGATTTATGCTGACATCAGAAAATCTAGTGGTCTCGACCTGTGTAAACTCTTTAAAGTGTTGTGTATATCATTACTACATGTAGGTGCCAAGCTTTTAAATTTAGGATCTTTAATACATTTATAGATAACACTCTGACTATTTGAGTTTGCTACCTGGTTCATATTGTAATGTGGTGAAAATCCTCTCAAGACATGAAATTACTTGTATAAGTGAGATTTGATTTTATTGAACTTGATTAAAAACTATTGGGGGGGGGGGGGTGTTAGTTTATATTTATGGTTATTAACAATTTCTTTAAAACTGAATAGTTATCTAGTAAAAAGGTATCATGTAGCTGAAATGTGCAATAATTTTAGGGAATAATTGAAGTACTGAAGTACAGTACTTTAGGAAGCAGTTACTCTTGATTGGGCCAAAATGTGATGTACATGTTATGTATATATATATATATATATCCAAAAAATGAAAAGAAATATCACAGTGTCCGGTAATTAATATGAAAATGAAAAATAACAAGGCAACAATGTTAGTAAAACGTAAGCGCTTTCATTATACTTCTTCAGACGTTTTACAATTCAAAACAATTCAAACATGTGACGTTATAACGCTACCTGATGATCATCATTGTAAAACGTCTGAAGAAGTATAATGAAAGCGCTTACGTTTTACTAACATTGTTGCCTTGTTATTTTTAATTTTCATATATATATATATATATATATATATATATATATATATATATATATATATATATATATATATATAATCCTGGTCATTATTTCCATTAAGTCATGCAATAATCTGAGTGGTGGTGTAAATCATTCACACTCTTAATACATTTGTAATATAAATTGTAGATTGAATTTGATAGTGTGTATAAAATTTTTTATGTGTAATTAAAATAATTTTGCATGTTAAAAACCGTGTGCAATAAAAAACAGACATCAAAGATCCTGTTGAGTTTTTTCAAAATTTCTCAGTAGAAAAATCAATAAATATTAATACCGGTAGATAGAAATTTCTCCATCTTGAGAGTTACTAAGATCTGGTATGCCAATTACCATGATCACTAACAACATATATTTCTAAAGAAAGAAATCTTTTTGTACAGTTCTTCAAAATCTGAAAAAAGCAAAGCTAAGAGTGGAAGAATATGATTTGATATGCTCCCAGTTTGTATTCTGAGGTGTCTACAATTACTGCAGAAATGGATTTCTGTAGGTTTCTGACATTTACCTTTGCATTTAAGCTGTATGACTATTTCATTTTGATTGAATTTATAATTGATCCAGTTTATGTGTGAAATAATATTAAGCACATATGATATAAACAAACGATAGATGCCTGGATTGGTATAAATTTTGGAACTATTTTGGTTATAAATTATGCAAATAATAAATTTTTGAAATACTAAGAAATTGTAAACTCTCTATGATATTCAAAATTCTACAACTTTTTGTCACTTAAAATCCCATTATTGTGAAACTTTGAATGAAAAATTAAATTGATACAAATATTCTATCAAAATACTATTGAACTAAATGCTGCTTCTTTCAATCGGATGACAAAAAAAAAGGGGGGATATCCATTTTACATCTCTGAATAGTGTCGACCAATTGCTTCATTTTAAAAGCTGTCAGAATCAAGTGTTACTCTTGTCATGAATTGCGGACTAATGACCTGACCTATTGATTGCTGGTCCTTTAAGTTACAAGCTTTCCAGTCCTCCATTTTATGCTGCTACCACATGTAAAGATCGAGAGATAAAATTTCAGATTCATTTTAAAATGCCCAATAATCACTTATGTCACGCAGATAGCACTTTTTATACAAGTGGATCTGCTTGTTTGCAATAATTTTGAAATGGGATCAAACTAAGTCATACACTTTGTTAAAATTTAGCAACACTTTTCAGAGGTGGCAAGCATATAACATTTGCTTAAAAATTTGGATACTCGGAACATTTTGTTTAGAATAATAACATAATAACCATGCACAAACATGAATGATGGAATTGTACTTAGTATTTCTTCTCTCTCAAAAATTAAACCATGAGACTGTTGATTTTATTTATTTACTATATCCATTCAACATGAACATAATGATGAATTCTCTCCTGCACTCAGTATCTCATAAAATTAACAATACACATGTGTTCTGTTTTCAAGGAAATCCTGAATTATGATGAGAAGTTGATATCAAGTGTATTATATATATGTTCAAATATATTGAGGAGAAAATTGCTTTTCAACATAATTCAGATTTTCCAGTTTAAAGCATTAAAGTACACGTAATCCATTTTGTAGATTTTCTGCATGAAGTATATATGGTGTTTGACTAAAGTTTTCACAGTTTTTCCTCAATTGATAAATTTAGTCTTCAATAAAATAATATATATATAGAAAATTTCAGATATCAAAAGACACAGAACACTGTTTTTTAGTTAGCTATGTAGATGATTTTGTGCCTTTCAATTGTTTCAATGTCTCTTTCTAGCTGTTTCATTTCTGCCTCCATTCGTTCTTTCCTGTTCTTCTTGGGTGCTGTGTCGGGAACCACTGATAATCCTTGATACTGGTCATGAATCTCTTCCCAGTTTTGTTTAAGTCCCTTGAGTATAGCTGCCCTCTCTTCTTGAGATAGAGATTTCATGGCCCCACGTCTGAAATGTTCGGCTACATAAGCATCATATTCCTCTTGTGCTTTCTTCATTTCTTCCTTTCTTTTGGTCAGGTATTTCGGTGTTTCTCCAAAGTCCTATTTAGGATCATATCAAAATTAAAAATTTTCTTCATTTTACAGCAGAAAATTTTTGTAGACATTGTATATTAAAATATGATATTTAGAAGAGAACAAAGCATAGCACCTTTGATACAGAACTAAACTGAAAGAAACATGTTTCCTAGTTCTTACCTTCTTATTCGTATAGACAGGTTCTAAGCCAGATGGCTCCAGCAAGTTTTTGTGACCACCTCTTGTGTCTACATATACCTTCTGTGGTTGTTTGGGAACGGATGTTATGTTTTGAACAGCGTTTGTTGTGATGAAGTTTTTGGAGGTTTTTAGACCCATGAGGGGCTTATCATCCACCTTTGGAACAGGGGGCCTCCTTCTATTTTCATCGGGATAATGGAACTGTTGATCTGGGGGAAGATCTGTTCAGAAACAAAAGTATTACGATTATTCATGTATTTGGTACTAGCATTATATTCTTATTTCCATCTGCACTGAAAGTTTTCTATATCATTATAATATTACAAGTACCTGTATATTTATTAGAAATTGAACAAGATTTCTGTAAATTTCCCATAAGTGTACATGCATTAATTCCTAGTCTATAACTTGTTATTTTAATGAATTGATTTGCAAGCCTGTATAAAGACGCACTATATGAATTAAATACATGTATACCTTTAGGTAGAATGATATCCTTGGAACGTTTCTTTAGGAAATCATCTGTAGTTGGGACTGGTACCTTGGCCTGACCCATGGTCTTATGGTCTCCTCGACCTGAGGCATATTCCTGTTTCACTGTATCACGGAACTTTGAATTGTACCTGATTCATAAAGATAAACAATATTCACATGATTACTATGCACTGGGATCTATAGTGGCAATTCTTAGTTACATTAAAAGTTTGATTTGACTTTATTGAGGCGAGTTTGTGCATTTCAGAACTCTCTAAATTGAATAATACTGAAGAGTCATTTAGAATGCAGATTGTACAATCACATGATAACTTAGAAGGGTTTGTTTCCCCAAAGTATGCATAGATAAAATTAATAGATGTTTAAAAAAAAATTCTAACTCGGAGATAATTGCATGTCGAAATCATTTTCAGCAGTTGGTACACATGCAATATTTTAACATTTAAGCTCTTTCTGAATAAAATACCTATAGGTTCGTATAGATATATTCGCAAGTTTTACCTATATACATTTTATCATTTATGCGACGAAAAACTCACAATTACCGTTTACGTGGTGCACAAAGCTATGAGATTTACAGAAACGAAAAATATTTTTCTTTGTATTACCTTGGCTGTTTAATTTTCTTCTCTTCCTCTGTAGGAATAAGGTTATAGATGCTTGCTTCATCAAACATTGTGATATGAATACTGCTTAAGTGATATAAACAATAAAACAGTCCCTATTTTCTGCCTGTCAACTGGTTGACAACACGGCAGCAGTATAAATATGTTCCGTAGTTACATGTAACCAGGAAGTACGTCATCAAACATGCCACGTAACTCTAGATGATCCAGATAACTTCGCTAAGGAGTTACCTCCCGTGTTCCATTTGTTAGACACGCACAAACCGTACCTTTAAATGAATGGCTAGCAATTTTTTCTTCTATTTTGCAATTTGATTTCATTTCAATTCCTTTTAAAATTTGATTTCTTAATATTTCTTTCCTATAAATAAAACGTTTCTTGAAGATTGAAAAAAAATTAAAAAATTATTTCGCTTTTCATAGTAGGGAAAATTGTTTAAAGCTTTATATTGCGTATCTGAGCTAGAAAAAATAAAAATATGAGATTGAGTGTAGATGAACATGATATTTGTTATTTACGTTCAAATTAAAAATTTTCACCGATTTTGAACTTGAATAACCCTACGTTTCTATTGTTAAATTGACTTTAAACTGTGTATGATATTTAAATGCGGAGTCGGTAAATAAATCGGTTATTGTTTTAAATTTCTAATATCTATGAAATGCGATTGATTTAAATTGTGTCATTTACAGGAAAGTCCTATCTTTATACAAAGTAATAAAACAAATAGAAAGATCTTTTTAATTTTAGTTAGTCTGAACTTATCAAAAATACGCATTATATGACTTTAAGAAAAAAAATTAAAATGTTTACCTGACTTTTCTTGGCATGTTTTATGAGATGTTGATATTATGCATTTATATGCAACAAATTTTAAGCACCTAAACACAGGGGCTAAGCCCGTTTTGACCCCAAACTCTTCGTATCCATAACTGGGTACGATTGAAGAATTTGGAGTCATTTAACGGGCTTAGCCCTGAGCATCTAAATGTCTTATTTGCAACAAAAAAAACCCCTTTTTTTAAAATATTTTCTCGAAAAAAAAAATAGACAAAAAATTTAAAAAATTAAAAAAAAAAAACAATTAAAAGTAATCATAATAAAAATAAATAAATAAATAATTTAAAAATAATAAGAGCTTAGTACATGTATATCTTTAATGATGAAATCATATGTCGAAAGAAATTCCTTTCATCCATGAAATTGAAAATAAACATTTATTGCGGTATACCTCCTTGAGGAATTACATTAAAACAGAGAGATAGAGGATCCTATACATAGTAGGATCTCGTCTCTTCTCACTCGTTACCGGGTGATGAATGAAAATAGTTATTAAATTTCTATGCAAAGCAACCAAAAATGACCTTAACCCCCCCCCCCCCCCACACACACACACTTGGAAACGAACGGACACCCTCCCTAAAAATAGTGGGGTAAGGATCGATCGAGAGCAACACATTACATGTAGTATATGTACATATGAAGTAAAGAGACCCCCTCCCCCCCCCCCCCCAACACACACACCGAAAAAAAAAATTATTGGGTTTATGCAAGCTGTTTGTGCGCTTATAATTTTAACACACCTGTCTTAAGACATGTCGTTTTATGGTATGAAATTCCTGTTCGCCCGACTGCTAACTATTTCATATCTGGCTCCGAACTTAAATACGTGTACTATGAGGCCTAGAATATCATAATCAAATTTTGTAAGCTGATACATCTCGGGTAGAAGGAAAGTGTGTCGCGCATTAAAACTAGGCCACCGTGACTTTTATTGAAGATTATATGAGATGGCCAAATATGACAAAAACCCTGCCCGACTCGTAACTGAAAAACTATTAGACTTAGAATCAGCAAACTTAGCCAGTTAATGCATGTTATGTAGAAGTGTGTTGCACCATGTAAGAGTATTGCAGTAACCTTATTCATAAATTTTACATCAAGAAAATACACTTTTATTCATGATGTACTGTAAAGCTTTATATATGAAATATAATACTAGTATTTCTATTGTTTCTAGGAATAACGAGAAATTTTACTTTTCCCATGAAAGTAAGCCATGGTGAGACATTTTGATAAGAGTCTGTCAAGTTAAAGATGAATTTTTGAGTTCAATGTAAGAAGACTGTCTTAATCATTTATGTTAGAGCATCTTTGATCAAGCAAGCAGATGTTTTCTATACCTCTTTGGAATTGGGCAGAGGGATCTGACCGGTTAATTGCAATTGATAGTGTCTGTCAAATTAAAACAGTTCTTGATGGCTAGCCTTTATTTAAAAAATAATTTGGTAAAAAGTTATCAAAATTAATTTGATATTGTAAAATCTAATATTTTTATTTTAGTTTCTATATCTCAAAAAAAAAAAAAAAAAAAATGCAGAGGGCTATTTCTCGTGATGATGACAGATTGATACACTTAAGAGCCAGTCTTAATGTCTAATAATGACCATAATGATTAGCATTTTGACGTTTTAATATGCTGGGGCATTGTTCATCATTCAGAAAAATACAATAAACAAAGCTGCAGATTGGGCATTTGTGTAACTTTAACACAATCAGTCGAGATATGTACAGCGTACTTTTTGTTCTTATTAATAACTAAAGCATGAAATATATGGAATATATATGAGATGCTAATCAATATTAGGTATGGGAAAAAAAAAATCATTGAAATCTTTGTACCAAGGTTGACATGTTTTTCTTCAATGAACACTCTTCTGATTATAATAATTAATAAACATTTGACGGGCGTATCATGTGCCTTCCGTTGGAGGTGCACTTTAATTTTTCTTTTACTTATCCAAAAAAAAATTTGAGTTCGATATTTTTGAGCTGGTGTGGACCTCTCCCTCTTACCCTAGAAAAAAAATACTACATGGATCCGCGCATGATTTGTGGAAATCTGACGATGAATCCCTTGCAAGCATGACTAGTGGTAACTCTCAGAACCAAACTTTGAGCTAATTACATCACTGGCAAAATTCAACACTGAACATTGCAACATTTTCTTATCACAAATGAAAAATGAATTTTGTCATCATTTAACCTAGTGCTAATTGTAACTGTAATTGTTTCCCAAACACCCCCTCCCCCAACTTCATTTTTTGGTTCTCCATTCCCTACAAGCTTCGTAAAATAAGCCAATTCAGAAGTATTATAGATTTACATTTCATTTTCCGAAGTATTTTTCGGAAAACAACGCCAACAAAGACATATGAGTATTAGCCAATCGGATTTCAGTATATTTTCTAATTCTTGGATTTTCTTACTAGCATTAAGATTTTTGTATCAGCCGACCAGAGCAAAGCGCATGTGCCAATTCATCTACGTCATCTTGTCAACAGCACTTATATATTATATACATATATACTGAGTGTCAAAGTATTTCATCAAAAATAAGAAAGTTAAAGCTATTTCAAATATATCACTAATTTCACACATCGCGCGCACGTGAAAGCATGTGCACACAAAATGACCTTCATTCCAAACACCTACACAACATGCTTATTAATCCTAAAAAGGTTTCATCTCAATCGGATGAATAATTTTCAAGAATTCTCGCGGAAAAAAGTAAGGAAAAGAAGAAGAAAAAGAAGAGTTCGTTTGGGGAACATAATTAACACACAGACATTAAGGCACGGTGATTGATTTGGATAATCTTTTCATATGGCATGTAGTGTGTCGGGAAAATTATTTTTTGAAATTACTTACAACAACCTATCCCTAAATTTAATTTCGGGAAAAAATATATAAGGCATATACGAGCTTATTTTTATTTAGTTAACTACAAAAAATGGCACATGTTAAACATCATTGTGCATATGGGTGCAAGACTCGCATGATATTCATTACAAGCTGAAACGTAAATAAAACTGTCATAAGCTACCATGTACATTTTATTATCTTGGTGATAAAAATAAATACAAATATACTCCAAATTTGCTACAAAAAAAAAAAAAAAAAACCAAACAAAAACAAAAACAAAACAACATTGTCAAACTAATAGCAGAGGAATACTAAAAACTACTACATCCTATAGGAAACCTCTTTTTTTCAACTTAGGCGTCCATCGCAGTTTACATTTCAAAGGCTCATCTATATATTCAGACGAATGAGTACTTAGTATATAATAACCTAAATACATAACTCTGTATACATGTACTTTAATTGTTAAATATTATTTCTTCTTTTTTCCTCCACGTCCCCGGCCCACAGGTGCAGGATCTTCGGCCTTTCGTTTCTGCCCACGCCCCCGACCTCTACCCACAGGTGCTTTCGGCTCTTCCTCGGCTTTCTTAGCCCCTCTACCCGCGGGTTTAGCTGCCGCCGCGGCTGCTTTTCCCCCTCGTCCGCGCCCTTTTGGCTTCGAATCTTCCTTTTTCAAGGCAGGTTTCTTCTTCTTTGCGCTAGGCTCTACATCGTCATCGTCAGCCTTTTTCTTCCCAGTGTCTTTGTCTAATAAAAAATATCAATTAAACATAAAGAAATCAGAAGAATGACGAATTTTAATTGCCTTGTTCAAGATTTGTTGAAGCGAACACATCGATGTGCAAATGCAAATCCCCACGCATATCTTCAATAGTTGTTTAAAATAAGCGCCTAGCTGACCTGTACTTACTACCATATTTCTTTTTATAACTTTTATTTGCGGAGGACCTCTCCTAGCTGACCTGTCCGAAATATCCGACGTTTTCCAGGCTTTTTTTCACGACTTTGATATTTTAAGTGCCAGGAAAACGTCAGAACCGGCGCCATTACGAAAACTGGAAATTCGCCGCCTCCAACTGGATGCAGCATTCTCGGGTTGATTTTCGATACTTGCGAACCGAATTAAATGCTGAATTCACAACAGTTACTTATATAATAGTACAATGCCTTTAGTACTCACCAACATCGATCGTTTTTATGGGTTTGTTTATAAATGAAATATACATTCTGGTGAAAACATTTTATCAGACCCTCGAGTTTTCTTTTCATTTCGTGCATTTTTTTTAAAGATCTGTATCGAAATGTGGAGTGATATTGTCTTTTCATCGATATTGGTGAGTACTAGAAACATTGTGCTACTGATAAATTGTAAGTTCGGCATTTAATTCAGTTCGCAAGTATCGAAAATCAGCTCCGGTTGGAGACGGTGAAATTTTCCAGTTTTCGTAATGGTACCGGTTCTGACGTTTTCTTGGCACGTAAAATATCAAAATCGTGAAAAAAGCTTGGAAAACGTCAGATATTTCGGACTAACCTGTACTTACCTTCTTTCTTTTTGTAAGGTTTATATCTACGGAGGACCTCCCCCCAGCCTCCCCCCGTCTTCCAAAATGTCCAGTGGTATCCGTCCGTATCGATAGCGTACTGGACCGCGGACACCAGCTTATCAAATACCTCATCATCTCGGAGGGGCTTTATCTTCAGGACCTAAAAAAATAATTTCAATACATAGAACTCTTTGCATTAAAGTCATATATGGCGTATTTTTTTTTTATAAGTTCAGACTAACTAAAATTAAAAAGATCTTTCTATTTGTTTTATTACTTTATATAAAGGAAGGACTTTCCTGTAAATTACACAATTAAAATCAATCACGTTTCAAAGATATTAGAAATTTAAAACAATAACCGATTTATTTACCGACTCCGCATTTAAATAACTGACACAGTTTAATATGGAACGCCGGGACTGTCTTATATGAGGATTAAACATTATATGCAGTGTTCTCTTCATTATATGTGGTATTATTTTAATTATATGAAGTAGTTTTTACAGTTTATCGTGTGCAACTTCTATTATATACAGTACTTCTTTCATTATATGATGTAGATGTGTCATTATATTATGTACATCTATCATTATATGAGGTGTTTTTATCATTATATGAGGTGCTTTTAACATTATATGCGGTAGATCTAACATTATATGCAGTAAACACAAAAATATATTATGTACTTCTCACATTATATACAGTATATTCATCATGATATGTAGTATTTCTGTTATTATGATGATGCTGATCGTTAAATATTATGTCCGGTCCTGTTAGCATTCCGTGCGGTAGATTTTGCATTTCGTTATGATGTAGACACAGTATTATATGCGGTGCTTTCTTCTTTATGTGTATGATCTTTCGGAAGTTACCTTTCGGAACCCCCTTTGTTAGATTTAGAAAGTTCTACCTTTTTTCGTTCTTATAGATATAAAAATTCTTAATGATTTTGGGTTTTCTTTAATAATTGGTAATCAACCACACGTCAGCCAAAGCATCGCGGAATAATCACATACCACACAATATTTATCCCTATATTAAAGGAATTTCGAAGTCATATCAATACTTCTGTAGTTTACAACGAGAGAGAGAGAGAGAGATGCACTTATTACTGAAATAATTTTATTGTTCCATAGTATTAATTGTTAAACTATGGCGTATAAAAAAAATTGCTGAAATTGTCTTTAGTTAAATACTGTGTGAATGTTATGTAATGTATCAGGAAAAGATAAACGATTTTCAGAACAGAAAATGTATTGAGTCGTGGGTTGTACTTCAAGATTTTATTTCTAAAATGATATGTGATAAAATTACCCAGTCATACCGTATATATCTATATCTATATCTATATATATATATTATTGTTTACACAGACGCAAATTGGGATGTACATGTACGTGTATAATTACTAGTATATACCTGTACCCGGCGTTTGTAAACAATAAGCATGGTATCCATCTCTCTACGTGCAAGTTTGCTACAAATTCTTCATCAGGCCCACAGCTAGCAACGTTTTTGGAAATTCTATTTTTTTTGGGGGGGGGGGGCTCTCTAAGTTGTCGGAATTTTTTTCTTTTCGAATTTACCCGATTTCTACCTGACAGCAACAGAAAGTGTGTATGAAAGATGAAAAGGGGGGGGGGGGCAGCAGCGTCTAAGTTAGTGAATTTTTACATATCGAAACTTAAGCAAAAAAAAAAAAAAAAAAAAAAAAAAAAAAAAAAAAATATTCTCAGAAAAAGTGGAGAAATAGGTCAAAAATTAGAGCACCCCTTCCTGACACCTTCCCCCCGCGTATAACAGGCCTGTTCATTGTCTAATGAACTGGTCTATCGATGTTTGGAAATCTTTGATGAATCGAAGTTGTAAGCTATTAAAATTAAAGCAATATACTAAAATACTGGGTAACAAATACTATTTAAAACAACTTCAGATGATTTTTTTTAATGTCATACACATTTCTGCATTTCAAAAATGGGGGGATTATGAAGGATTAATCACCCTGTTCATTTTTAATTTCATAACTATGCATTCTTTCGGCGAGTAACAAAAAATATTATACAATAATAGAAAATTATATGTATTTTAATCTTTACCTCATAAACCCTTCAAAGTTCTTTCTATGCCGTTTCGAAAAAAACAAACAAACAAAAAAAACAAACAAACAAACAAACAAACACCAGCTCCTAGCTAATTAAAAATATTCCGGTTTTTTAAATCTATAGTAAATATAACTTAAATCACATAAAACATTTTATTTTGGTTGCATGTTTAATTGTTCTTTATTAATCAGAAAATAAAAATATCAAGATTTTGGCTGAAGTCTTATTTTAGTTGGTTAGGACCCCTCCCCCCTTTTCGATCCAGTTCGCCTCCCCAACGTCAAATTCTTGCCGACGCCCCTGTTTTTTATTATCTTTTTTGACATTGATTGTCCTATATATGATATGACTCTTTTTGAAAGTCATAATGTTCACAAAAAAGATAGAAAATGCCTCAAATTTTTTTCCACTCCGAAAATATTTCTATCATCAACCCCCCTCTCTCTCTTTACTTCATACCATGTAATAGAATGGATTTTATTTTACTCTATTACCCTACTTCATATCTTTAAAAAAACATTTTAACCTGTTCACGGAGCATTAATTGTTATATACGCAGGCTTTTATTGTACTGAATTCAACAGGAAAGGTCGGAGTTCTCAAGGTACTGAATTTTTAACAGAGAGTTCCGAAAGGTAGCTTCCGAAAGATCATACACATAAAGAAGAAAGCACCGCATATAATACTGTGTCTACATCATAACGAAATGCAAAATCTACCGCACGGAATGCTAACAGGACCGGACATAATATTTAACGATCAGCATCATCATAATAACAGAAATACTACATATCATGATGAATATACTGTATAAAATGTGAGAAGTACATAATATATTGTTGTGTTCACTTCATATAATGGTAGATCTACCGCATATAATGTTAAAAGCACCTCATATAATGATAAAAACACCTCATATAATGATAGATGTACATAATATAATGACACATCTACATCATATAATGAAAGAAGTACTGTATATAATGGAAGTTGCACACGATAAACTGTAAAAACTACTTCATATAATTAAAATAATACCACATATAATGAAGAGAACACTGCATATAATGTTTAATCCTCATATAAGACAGTCCCGGCGTTCCATAGTTTAAGGTCAATTTGACCATAGAAACGTGAGGTTATTCAAGTTCAAAATCGGTGAAAATTTAAATTGAATGTAAATAACATATATCATGTTTATCTACACTCAGTCTCTTATTTTTATTTTTTAGCTCAGATACGCCATATATAGCTTTAAAAAATATACATAATAATTTTTTCAGCCATATACATGTACATGTAATATTCTTTAACACATTGGTATGCACCAATTTAATTCCAGTTTTCGATATACTTCACAGCTTCTTATTGGATCAATGTATTCAATTATTTTTAAGACATGTATGTGGATTTTGCATATTAATATAGTATACTGGAAACCTGGGCATAGTTACCTAACTAATAAGGGTAAATCTCACTTCTAAGAATTATTGTCACATGACTTACGTTAAACCAATCAGAGTAGGTTTTCATGTTATTGATGAGCTGGACAGATTCCTTCATCTGTTTCACCATTTCTTCCGTAGGGAAGCCTAAGTTATTATCGTATCGCTTGACCAGGTCTGCTTTCGATTTTCCTTTGGGCATGGCAATGTCCAGAAAGAGCACCTGTTAAATAAACAGTATTATTTAAGGCTATGAGAACAAAATTTAAAACAAGTGATTTATTTTATATTTGCACTACATTAACTGCAATGGACAAAAAGTATTTAATTCAAGGATGTAACTTCCTCAGCAAGGATCAATAACTCTTCAAATTAACATTTATATATTATAACGTTACTCAGAATTATTTTTTGTAATATTATGAAAAGGAACACTTTAGGTCTCTCAATTTTAATACATCAATGGGTAAATTGAGAGAGCTATTTTGTGAATTTTTAAATGTCTTAGTTAATTGCTGATTAAAAGAACGCCAAAGGATGGACAACATTAAGATTTTCCAGATTCCGTCCCCTCCCCCACCATTTTCTCTTTAAAGTAATATAATATGCATTTTATTACAACTTTCCAGCGAATAGACGGTAAAATGTTGATTCGTATACAATGTCATTAAAACATACATAACCTTTCATTTTAACATAGTTTAAATTCCCAGTATATATGTCAAATAAATGATATATTTGTCCACTACGAAGACTTATTAGAAGCCGCCAACTTACCTGGAAGGCTAACAGCTTCCGGCTAACCAGAGTCCTCTGAAGTGTTTCCCGGATGCGATAGTCTTTGTCAGTGTCGAGCATGCCCAGTTTAGCGTCCTCTTTGACGTACCACATAACGTTTCTCTTGAAGCTTTCTGACAGATAAGCCCAAGCAGCATCCTGCCACCTACAATGAATTGACAAATTAATACCCGTACTGGAACTAATTTGTATTTATACCTTTTTTCCTTGATATTTTGTACGTCAAAAATGTTCCTGATTAAGGATATTCCAAAATCGGATACCAACCTGTACTTGAATGAAGCTGCTAGAAGCATCAACCATTCTCCAATGTGCGGACATGCCTTTTTGCTTCTTTCACTCACGTCATCGATAAAAACCTAGAGGTATTTATACATGTAGTAAGACTTCAAGTGATTTGAAAAGATGTGTTTGTAAATACACATGTTTACTGGTTAATGATCAGATAACTTAAGAAATAGCGATTAAATAAACCTTTAGTCTGGAGTCGATCTCCTCCTGTAATTCAGGGTACGTGTCCAGTGCCCACAGAAACAATCTATGTAGAGAAAAGTAGCCGTTAAGACTGTTTTCGCTTGTGTGTTGTGTCCCTTTAGAAAATTCCACCACTGTGGCGCTCATCAAGTTCGGTATGACCTTAATGATGAGGTCCTTAAGGGGAGTTTTGTTTGGCTTACATTTTGGTAAAATAGCTGCCACCTCGTTTAAGCATTTCTCAAAAGTCTCTTTAATCATAGAGCCATGGTTGGGAGTGATATACATTGGGAGGAAGAATTTGATATCTTCCTTCATAACACTTTTGACAGTGCCTATTGCTTTTTTCATTGCTTCGAACGATTCCAGTTTAATGAATTCGCAGGGTGTTGTGAGAGCTGGTCTATGTGGGGGACCTGATACTATTAAACCGTATCCAAACAGATCATCGTTCGACTTTGGTTTTACTGATTTGTCAAAACGCTCCTTTGAAGCATAATCTATTATGTCTGGCACAGATTCGCCACTTGCTGCCGCTTTAGTTTGCTTGCCTTTTTTGTCTGTTTTCTTCCCGCTTTTTTCGGGTTTACCCGCGTCAAATGCCGGAAGTGGTTTCGCATAAGTGTGACCACAATCACATTTGAATCCTTTCGAAATCTTTCGGTTATGGTCCGACGCGTCCTTCATCCAAGCGTAGTCACCCGACTGTGTCTCCGCCAGGAAAGCCACCACATTAAGAAGAATGGTCTGTACGGTATATCCGGGAGACCAGCCAACAGATTTTTCATCTTTCCATTCAGTGTGAATATAAGCAAAGTCAGAAAAGATATTCAAACACACTTTAGTTCCAACCTTTCCCGGCATGGTGGCGCCACTGTTGTAGCGGAAACCTACGGGAACAAACTCTGCGCTTGGAGAGTCATACGGGTATTTTTCGGTGAAAAATAAAATGAGGTGGTATATGATGTCATCGTGCTTGAAGTTGCAGTGCCATTCAAATACGTTGGCGTCTAGAGGCATGGCTGATACGTTCTCGACGGGTTCCCTCTGCAGTTCTTCATAGTCCTGCATAAGGCGCTTCATTGCTCGCTTTCTTTGTTGATTTACCGCCATCTTTTTTAATTTTCAATTACAAAACCTGCAAAAATCGATTTTAGATAAATAAAGCGTATTATTTACTTTGCAGAACATGTATAAAGGATAACGACCGAGTGCTCTTGCAATCGTTTGGATCCGAGTCGAGGGCGTGCGAAGGGACTAAGGAACATATTACTATGTAGTGGACTTACTTTAAAAATTATAACTAAAGGATATTACTTCAATCACTTCATAATTATACAAAGCCAAATGGTTCAAAATTTCAACTCTGTACTTCCTTACATGTTCAAAGTTTGAATGAAAAGTCTGAGCTTTTCAATTGTTTTATTAGACAAATCGCAATTGTATGTGTACAAATTGCACAATGCGTTTTTATAATATACTTTTAACACCTATCATGTTATGTTGTAAAATTATAATAAATTTGTAAAATATAAAAAGATAAAATACTAGACTGGCTACAAATTAATCTTTCAGGTAATTACGAAGTTGGAATTTTGAACCAATTGGCTTTCCATACATATTCGTTGCTATAGGAAAATCTTGAAGAATAGAGATCTACAATTAAGCGTGTTGTTTAAAAATTCAATTGCATTCCACATTAAAAAAGAGTTGAGTTTTTTAATGCATGTATCGTCATGTCCGGATACAGGTATTTGTTCCAGTAGGGGTGGGGGGGGGGGGGGTGGAGGGTGTGTGTTCCATATATACTCACTCAAAAAATGATCGTGGAAATGAAACAAAGTTATTTTCCTACTTCTCCATTTTCAGCATCACAGGTGGATTTGTTTTGCTAATTATGATAATATTATGCATGTAACCTCATGCTTCGACAAAAAAATTGCCAGGTGCAGAAAAAAAATGTGTTATGTAATAATGCATAAACCAAACGCACGCCTGGCATATTTTAAATACAGAACGTTATTTAAAGAAGTCTTTTGACTATTTCTTTTTAACTGCACAAAAAGAAATATTGATTTTTTTTCAGTACCTGCACAATGTGTTATGAAAGCCGGTAGGTGCCAGGCAAAAAAATATTTTATCTGGCGGCCGCCAGATAATTATCTAGCGGCCGCCACATTAAAAAACGGCCGCCAAATATTTATCTGGCGGCCGCCAGTTATTTATTTGGCGGCCGCCAGATAAAATATTTTTTTCTACCTAGCACCAACCGGCTTCCGTAATGTGTCAATGGATATGGTGAAATACGTACTGCACTCTGTTAAGTTTCAGTACTGTAGCTTTAGATTATGGGACGTGTACGTGAAGTTATCAGGGTATCTTAACTCGTATCAGTATTATACAAATATATGTACGTACTGTTTTCCTTTAACCCTATCCTTGTATTTCTCAAGAGGAGCAATAATCATAAATAAATATTTCTTTTACCCAAATACTTTTTACTCTACTGTTAATGTTATTAAGTAAAGGCCGTATTAGAAACACAATCTAATAGTGTTAGTGCACGTGTACGAAACATTGAGCTATACACTACACATGTATGGCTCCAGATTGACACGCCCCTTCTTACCTTCACAGCCAACATCGATGTACATTTCAAATACAGATATAGAAAGTCTAAAATTAAACACAATGCAAATGGTGAAAGGCTACATCACACCAGTACCTACCTCGGAGAAAGACGATTGTGAAGTATACCTTTTTTCTTCCCTGTATATATAGAAAGATATCGCCAGTCTAGACTCGCATTCATTGATCAAGGAGTTATTTATAGAACTGGAATTTCCTTTATCGTTGACCTTAGATGTAGTAACTTTATATACCGACTTGTGTATGAAGGATTGTAAGTCTACACGGAGATTTAAATAACGCCTGAATTAAATAAATAAAAAACAAAATATGTATATTTTTTTTTAATTAGGCTTTAAATGAAATAATTCAATCAGTTTATTGACCAGTTATGGACCCTCAACGGACAAAAAGAAAGTACATTGTACAGGCTCTTATATTGTCATATACATGTCATATAATATACTTACAAACAATTTAAGAAAGAAAGAGTTGTACTATTGAAAGTGGGGGGGGGGGGCAACTGCCATTTCAATGAAACTTTTCAATAGTAAAAAGTAATGTTTGGGAAAAAAGGAGGACACCTCCCCGATACCTGTTATCTACATGTATGTGCATACATACGTACAAACATGTACATGTATCACACACATATGTAAGTGCATACAGTCCACGATTCAGTGCCTGAAATTTCAATAATGGCAAACTTATGCTTCTGTATAATTTTTACTGAACTTTTATCTGAATTAAACAATGAATAGATCGAAGTCTTCTCGGCCGCAAAAAATTGAAGTAAACCTAGGGATTTTTTAATTTTCTGGGGTGGAAAGTATATCAGGTCATATATCTCATGACCTTTTAAACTTATTAGAATTACATTCATATACTAATCATTAAATTATTCATTGAAGATCGACATAGAATCTACAGGGATTACATAATTTTTTTCATTTAACGACTTTCATTTTGCTTCCACATCAATTGTATGCAACATGCGTAGCAATGGTTTTAAAAAAAGGGGGGCAACTTTCCAAAAAGAAAATCCGACAAGCAAAAAAACCAAAACCAAAACCAAAAAAAAAAAAAAAAAAAAAACAACAAAAAAAAAAAACAAAAACAAAAAAACCCTAAATTGACCTAAAAGGGGGGGGGGAGGGGCAACTTCCCAAGCCCCCCCCCCCAAAAAAAAAAAAAAAAAAAAAAAAAAAATATATATATATATATATATATATATATATATATATATATATATATATATATATATATATATATACTGTCCAAATCCTGGAATTTGCTAGTGCTCGACCTTCAAACCAAAAAAATTGGGGGGGGGGCAGCATCTAAAGGAAAATTTACAATAACAAAATATTATACTCAAAAATTGGGGGGGAGCCCCCCTCCTCCCTCCCCCCCCCCTCCCCCCGTTCTAGGGGCCTGGTATGTTCACGAGGATTTCTTTAAAATTCAGAGAATCCTAGCTTGTCGCATTTTATGCCAAAAATAAGAACAGGAAATAGAATCTGGACAAATTTTCATCATAGCTCCAGACTACATGGATCAGACGTGTGTGTTAAGCACAAGTCTATTTGGTTATCATATACTCTTTCGTTAAGTTATATACTTAGTCTAATAAATATATGACTTTCGGTAACCAAACAGCTTAACCCTTTTGTATGCGTGCATGCATGGGAAAATTTCTATAATTAACTGACATTGCTGTCATGCATCGAATTTTTTAAAGTGTGCTCTCATAACTATATTGCCTAAAACAGCTGATTGATTTACATGTAAGAATATTCATTTAGGGAAGAATTAACATACACACTTACAGTTAAATCTTTTCAACGTCTCGTTCGTTCTGTTTCAATCTATTCGCCCTTCTCGATCCATTCCCCAGCAAGTAAATGACATAACTGACCGAATTAACTTGGCTACAAAAGATGAGACCACCTGCTGTGGCATCCGAGCAGCATGGTCAAAATAAACTTCATCAGCATTATCAGACTGCAGATTAAAAAAATGATATTGAAAGTATTGGGAAGGCAATGTTTGTAATACGTCCACATATAAAAGTAGAAAGGCGAAGATAAGGAATTGTGATGAATCTAATAAAACAAATATTTAAAAAAAATGCAATGCAAATATGTGAAGAGGGCATAATTAATCAAAGACTCCTGGAAATTCCAGACATAAGACCTGTGCCTAAGAGGAGAATGCATCCCCTGTCGACGTGTCTTACGTCTATATATAGAAGTAATCCGTAGTCATCGACAAAACATTTGGTATGAAATACATGAATGTCAGTCAAAATACGACTCAGTGATAGGATGTATTTGCAAACAAGGACATTAAAACAAGCAAAGAATTTTCTGAAAATGCTGGTTTTAAAGGAGTTTGTTAAAATTCCTGTAACGTCAACTTATTTGTCAGTATCCTGCCTTGGTTTAAAAATTGATCGTTCTCGGAGCATTGCCAAATGCGTAAGTTGGGAGACATAAATACCATTTGCAGGTGGTAGTGAAATATTACTACATGAATAAGAAAAGTTGAGGATTGAAAATCTGAAGTTTATGTATATAGGTGTGGTACGTCTATTTTAAACGTGGTTTTTCTTGACTGAAAGTGTCAGAATATCTATTTTAACAACTTTTAAGTGTATTTAAGAGCCCTCTATACACTGCACACTGAAGAGTTCTGATTTTGTGGTATTTTTATGCTGATAGAGTGATCTGCCCTTTGATCAAGAATAAAATAAATTGAAATGTACAGTTTATTACTTAATTTGTGATCAAATCAAGCATTCATAACACTTTAATAGGCCAAGATGAATAGATAGAACACTTCATTTGCAGGTATTTTGCCCACTTAATTAAACAACAGTGATTTATGCTCATCAGTACTTCATTGTCTTTGAACATTTTTCCTTGGGGTAAATGCAAGGCACCCTATGCTGAAAAGGTGATAGACAAGCTCAATACTTACACCTTTACACACTATAATTTTCTCAATGTCCAAAAAATATTTTTCTCTAGTGTATAGAGGGTCCTTAAAGAAGATTCAAAATTTTTAAAATTTATTTTACATTTCACAATCCGGAAGACAAGCCCCTATGCTAAAACACACTTAAGGGAAACCTGCACTATATAGAATATAATTTGAAGAAAGTATGAACACCTTATATGGATCGAATCAATACTATTATTTGCCCTGCTCTCCATTTACATTGACTATATGTGTAAGAATTATGAGATTGATTACTGCTTGTTATCGTCACCAGTTTTATTCGGATTAGCAATAGAGATACCACGAGAGACACCTATGAAAGTGAAGAAAATGAAAAACGGAAAACACGAGAAACTGTAAAACAAAAACAGCATTATAGAGAAGCATGGAAGCATAAGAATTAAGATAGAAGGAGTATAGTACACTGTATAGATTGAGGGGTATTTCCTGTCAAAAGGACAGATTCAAACACAGAAAACTTTAAAGGGAAAATAAGACCAGAAA